GGGTTAACACATTTTTTTCAGTCAGGTCGTTGGAGTTCAGAGTTTAAATAAAGGTTGACAGGAAAATATGACTTCACTTCACCTGAAGGCTTTTCTGGGACAAAACCATTGATTTCCGAGCTCTTAGGATACGGAAAAGAATTGAAGTAAAATGTACATAATGTTTATTTTCTTAGGAAGAATATTTGTATACAATTTTAGTGTAAAACATTTCCATGAGACAATGTGACATTAATGTTAACAATTGAGAGTGGCTCGCAGTTCCTAATATTAAGATAATGGAATAACTTCTTTTTTTTTTTTTTTTTTTTTTTTGTCTTATGATAGTTATTGTAATTATCATCGTAATTATTATCATCATTAACATTATTATTATTTGATTACTCTGTCTCCCCCCCACCCTTCCTTTTCGAGAAATTCCTTATCTGATAATCTAACATATTCTTACACACATACCTTACATTTCGAAATAGTTATAATGAATGGGGTTAAATACAAGTATGAGGGTAATACAGACACCAAATGGAGGCGATCAGGTAACAGGTCAAGAGGTATTAGTGGAGGACATGCAGCATATGCATATCATATTAAGACTTTTTCGGGACAAAATTCATATACATTCATTTGTTATAAGTGTGTTATACGGAAAAGATATGTACATATTCCCTGTGACTCACCCTGTTGTCGGTGTTGCCAGTGAAGTGAACACTCACGTTACATCATTTTAATTTCAATTTTCGACTCTATCGAAAATCTTCAACATATACAAAGCATTTCATAAAGTCATTCATCTACACCGTTACTCGTAGTCGGCAAAAAGTGGAATCCCCTTGGAGTGGAATCCCCAATCCCCCCCGGAATCCCCGAGTGGAATCCCAATCCCCTTGGAGTGGAAGAGTGGAATCCCCTGGAATCCCCTGGAGTGGAATCCCCTAGGAGTGGAATCCCCTTGGAGTGGAATCCCCTTGGAGTGGAATCCCCGAATCCCCCCTTGGAGTGGAATCCCCTTGGAGTGGAATCCCCTTGGAGTGGAATTGGAATCCCCTAGGAGTGGAATCCCTGGAGTGGAAGGAGTGGAATCCCCTAGGAGTGGAATCCCCCCCTGGAGTGGAATCCCCTTGGAGTGGAATCCCCCCCCAGTGGAATCCCCGAGTGGGAGTGGAATCCCCTAGGAGTGGAATCCCCGGAGTGGAATCCCCTAGGAGTGGAACCCCCCCCCTTGGAGTGGAATCCCCTGGAATCCCCAGTGGAATCCCCTAGGAGTGGAATCCCCTTGGAGTGGAATCCCCTAGGAGTGGAATCCCCTTGGAGTGGAATCCCAGTGGAATCCCCTTGGAGTGGAATCCCCTGGAGTGGAATCCCCTGGAGTGGAAATCCCCTTGGAGTGGAATCCCCTAGGAGTGGAATCCCCCCCAGTGGAATCCCCTAGGAGTGGAATCCCCTTGGAGTGGAATCCCCTTGGAGTGGAATCCCCTTGGAGTGGAATCCCCCTGGAGTGGAATCCCCTTGGAGTGGAATCCCCTGGAGTGGAATCCCCTAGGAGTGGAAGGAGTGGAATCCCCTGAGTGGAATCCCTTGGAGTGGAATCCCCTTGGAGTGGAATCCCCTAGGAGTGGAATCCCTAGGAGTGGAATCCCCTAGAGTGGAATCCCCTTGGAGTGGAATCCCCGGAGTGGAATCCCCCCCTAGGAGTGGAATCCCCTAGGAGTGGAATCCCCCCCTGGAATCCCCTGGAATCCCCAGTGGAATCCCCTGGAAGAAGGAGTGGAATCCCCCCTGGAGTCCCCTAGGAGTGGAATCCCCGGAGTGGAATCCCCTAATCCACTTGGCTGACGTAAATGGTAGGGATTCTGGGATCGCGGACAGGGAGTCGCAGGAACCCGCTGTTGGAAGGAAGGGAAATAGGACTCAAAGCTATAATTATGTATGTCGTCGCTTCAGTTAGTTTATCATTCGGTTTGTCTGTCTGTCTCAGTCCGTCCTTTGGTTTATATGTCTTTTAGTCCATCTTTCCGTTTGTTTATCAGTCTGTCTCTGTCTGTCTTTCTTTCTGTCTTTCCTTCTGTCACTCAGTCAGTTTTATATGTTCATCTGTACGTCAGTCTGTTTGTTTTACAGAGATTACAGATATTAATGTAAGAGCTCTTAGTCGACAAGAGTTATAATTTAAAATCCCATACAAAATCATTATACCGGTTAAAAGAGAAAAAAAAATATTGTTTTCTCAAAAGGAAAAAGCACAAAGAATCACTCAAAGAAAAAGGTAAGAAACAAACAGAAAAGAGCAAAAACAGTAAACTAGGGGAGACGAAAAAAAAAAAAAAAAAAACAATAACAACAACAGGAAATGAATAATAAAATACTAACAGAAGAGATCATACCGATAACGATAATGATCTTAACAACACAGATAACATCAATAACAAAAATAAATAAATAAACAATAAAAAACGGATGATAAAGAAAGGAACAGACGAACAACTCCAAAGTAAACCTCCAGCCGAATTACCTGGTCCTGATCTCCCGCTCCTCCAGGTGTGCGATGGTGTCCGGGAGAGGCACGTGCAGCGTCTCCGCAGGGCGAGCGTGGCCAGTCCCGCGAGCACCGACGCCGCCCCGAACACTGCTGACGGCGCCCACGGGTACAAGGGGCCCTGGCGAGGAGGAAGAGGGAGGGAGGGAAGGAAGAAAAGAGAGGGAGGGAGGAAGGAAAAGAGAGGGAGGGAGGGAGGGAAGGAAGGAAGAAAAGAGGAGGGAGGGAGGTAGGGGAAGGAAGAAAAAAAGAGAGGATGAGGGAGGGAGAGAGAGCGTTATAAAATCATAGAGATTTAAACAAAAAGCAAGAAGACTGTCATATCTTGCTGTCATGCAGAGTGATTGGTAAAAATCTAAAACACATCCAAGCTCATTCAAACTACTTACATAATATTCCCTTCCCATAAAAAATAATAATAACATTCACCATGATTTATCCTGTTAAAGAAAATAAGAAAAGAAAAAAAGAAAAGAAAAGAAGAAGAAAAAACTTACCAAGTAGTCCGTGATGAAAGGCGAACAAGTAGACCCCACCCTTGACATGACAAGGGCTGTGCTCATGCCCCTCGTCCTAACCTCGGTGGGAAAGAGCTCTGAGGAGTAAAAGTCGAGGATCTGGAAGCCGAAGCGATACTCATCTTCCCCATAAGCGCTAAGGTCATCGATTCCCCACTACCTGAGAGGAAAATTAAATATTATTTTAGTCCCCTTATAATTTAAAAATAACGTTTTCTATATATTATTTTGAAGGGTCTATGCTAAATGTTTTACTTTCCTGTTTTGATTGTCAGGGAAACTTCTTGGTATTGACTGAAGACATGTTTGTAGACAGTGAATTCCTAATTTTGTTTGGCATAAGAAACAACACGAACAAAAAAGAACGAGATGAGAAAGAAGGAAATCATGCTTTCATTTTCTCAGATTTTTCATTATTGAAACCTCAAACATATTTCATGAAACAAAACCTCCACCCCAGACAACCTCACTCACCCGTGGGCACGAAGGGCAGAGCGAGAAGAGCCACGGCCCATGAAGAAGAAGGCGACAACGGGAGCCCTCCTGCCGTAGCGAGCCACCAGGGGGATGACCAGCGTGTAGGCCGGCAGCTCCACGACCCCCGTCAGCACCATGTACAGGAACGGGTCGGAGCTCAGGTCGCCGCCGCTGAGCGAGAGGCCGAAGTACACAGCACCCACCAGTAGGTAGTTGGTGTACAGGCTGAGGGTGATGGTGCGAAGGCGGGGGTTCTGTTGGGTGAGGGGGCGAGGGTGTGAGAGGGTGTGGGGGAGTGGTGGAGAAGCAAATGAGTATCGTCTTTGTAGGAGGATATATTGTCTTTACTATCATTGTCATCTTCGTTAATTTTATCACTATTACTAATACCATTCATATTGCTCTTATAATCAAAATAATTCTACGGGTTTGAGACTACATCCTCTGCACGCTTTCAGTAACCGACATAGCGAAATATGTCAGAGAAATTGCAATATTTCCACGAAATCAAAATATACAGACAAGATATACAAGATTTTTCATTCATATAAAGAATCGTATGATATATTTCAGCAATGTATAAGGAAAGTTTGGCAGAAGGAAGAGGAGGAGGAGGAGGAGGACGATGAGGAAGGAATGAAGAAGGATAAGGAGGAGGAGGAGGAGGAATAGAAAAGAGAATAGGAGGAGAGGAAGGGGAGGGAGGAAGAGGGAAAAGTGGACCTGCCTGAAAAGAATAAATGCTTCATCCAAACGCCTTCTGAACCAGCCTCTCGCGGTGTGGGCGCGGGCGTCTTGGTGCGGGCGTACCATTGCCTACGTCACGGGATCAAGTGATAAAAGAAATACAATAAAATAAAGGATTATGAACCAGGATTATTCTTCTGTCTTGTATTGTATATTCAGAAGCATGATAGTGACAGGATTTATATTTCGAGGAAAATTGATTAAAAAAAAAAAATATATATATAACACACACACACACACACACACACAACACACACACACACACACACACACACACACACACACACACACACATATACATATATATATATATATATATATATATATATATATATATATGATAAAGTGTGTTCCTTTTACACATGCGCACAAGCACGCGCTCGCACCTCGTCCTTGACTCCGTCCTTGAGCAGGAGCAGAAGCTCGTCCTCGGGGGCAGGGCGACCCCGTTCCACCTGGCGGCCCTCTGCAGCACTCGGAGGGCGCGCCGGTGCTGCCCCTCACGGCCAGCCACCGAGGCGACTCGTCCATGAACCTAATAGGATAATCCAGAGGTGGAGGTGAAGGAGGAGGAGAGGAGGAGGTGAAGGAGGAGGAGGAGGAGGGAGGAGGAGGAGGAGGAGGGTGGGAGAAGATGGATGATAGAAAGAGAAGCGGCTGGATGATGGAGGATGGATGGGAAGAGAAGGTTAAGGAAAAGGAGAGACATTGACGAAGGAAGGAGTTCAGGCTCTATCACACCAGGACTTTTCCGTCAACTTTTGTGCCTCTGTTTGAACTTTGCGGATGCGTTTGCCCAACCCTACAGGACTGTCTCGGTAAGTACTCAAACGAAATGAACAAACCTAAAGATAGAGAGAGACAGACAGACAGACACAGGAAAGAGATAAATAGATAGTGAGAGATAGACACAGATATCGAAAGTTGTATCACAGAAATCTCATCGAAACTTACCACAGAGTAGGCAAGAAGGCCAGACACAGCAAAGACACGGTCAGCTGAAGCATCCGCCATTCCCGGACGAGGTAAGCGAACCCGCCCCACGCCATGAGACCAAGCGCCCATGGCAGAAACAATACAATGCCGATATGCGTGCGCCACTTGGGATCCGCGACCTCCATGCCTGCGAAAATTGATAACGCTCTAAATGGTTTTGTACTCTCTCTTTCTCTCTATCTCCCCCCCCCCCCTCTCTTCTCTCTCTCTCTCTCTCTCTCTCTCTCTCTCTCTCCACCCTTCCATCCTCATCGTTATTGCCATCTGTATCTCTGTCCACTGCCTTTCCTATACCTTCTCCCCTCCTTCTCTACCTGTTCTTTTTCCTTGCCTTCTCCCTCCTCCGCCCCTCACCTAGTATATATCCCGTCTTCTGTATCGTGGGGTGGACGGCGCCCATGAGGAAGCGCGAGAGCAGGAGAGCCGAGAGGTTGGGGATCCAGCAGGAGCCGATGGCCAGGGCGGAGTAGGCGACGAAACCCACGGCCACTGTCATCTTACGCCCGTACCTGTTAAATGGTAGAATTTTAAGTTATTTTGGATTCTATATCCCTAAGATGAAATTAAGGTGTCTGATACTCTTTTTATAGTATAAGACTGCTGACATTAAATTTTCCAATTCTTAGAAGAGAAAGTATGGCTATGCAAAACAGACTAGATATGTGGATATACGAAAATTCACTTTTTAATAATAAAAAATGATCCTTAATGTAGAAAAGGTTTGGTTATAGCTTTTAAACACATGGTCCCCAGTTATGTTATACTCTAATTATAATTATTGCAATTATCTTATGGATAGGCACAAAAAAGGCCTAAGAACTATAAACCTGGACTTGATTTGCAGAATTCCTGTTATGATATAGCATATAAAACAAGTTTAACCAAACGCAACTATCTTTCGCTTTAGGGGGGGTTATAAATAGGGTTTCAGACCTAAACGCGTTGTCAAAAAAAAAAAAAAACGTTAGTCATGTGGTTAGAGGTTAGTAGACAAAACTACGAACCAGTTATTTTTTTTATTATTGCCAGTTAGTCAAAAATACCGTAGAGTTCGCGATATTTTTCATTTATTAGATTTTCCGCCCGTTCTTAACGTTTCTCGGGAGTATTGTGAGAATTATGAATGTCTGTATCTATGGGAATGAGAAATCTTAGACACACACACACACACACACACACACACACATATATACACAATCTTACACGCGCACATACAAATAAATACCGAGAAACATACAGTAACACAAAAAGACGAAAGAAAGAAGGGAGATAAAAAAAAAAAAAAAAAAAAGCCGAACACATTAACCCAAACAGCAAAGGACAAGAACCCCCCCCCCCCCCACCCCCACCAGGCCGTTCCCAAACGAGAGCCGCTCACCTGTCGGCCAGAACCCCGTTGAACGGCGCCCCGATCGTGACGCCGAACATGTAGATGCTTTGGTACGTCGAGCGAAGGTACTCCCAACCGCAGGCAAGCTGGAACTACAGTGGATACAAGGGGCCTTAATGTTCTGCGGATTCATATCTACGTTTGTCTCTTTCTCGGTAAATATGAAGTAAATGAATAAGGATTTAAGTAGATGAATGTCTCTCTCTCTATCAATCTATCTATCTTTATATATTGTCTCTTTCCCAGTAAACATGAAATACTTTAATAAGGATTTAAGTAGATGAATGTCTCTATCTATCAATCTATCTTTATATATTGTCTCTTTCCCAGTAAATATGAAGTACGTGAATAAGGATTTAAGTAGATGAATGTTTCTATCTATCAATCAGTCTATCTATAAGCATATGTATGTAGTTACGAATACAAATATAGTAACATTTTGATTAAGATTTGTATCTATTGAGCACTGTCATATATTTGATTGGTCATCTATTTGTATCTTGAACACTGTATAATATTTTTATCTATTGAGCACTGTCATAATATTTTGTATCTACTGAGCACTGTCATAATATTTGTATCATAAGCACTGTCATAATATTTTGTATCTGTTGAGCACTGTCATAATATTTGTATCTGCTGCGCACTGTCATATTATTTTGTATCTACTGAGCAGTCATAATATTTTGTATCTGCTGAGCACTGTCATAATATTTTGTAACTTGTATAATATTTTGTATCTATTGAATACTGTCATAATATTTTGTATCTATTGAGCACTGTCATAATATTTTGTATCTTACTGATCACTGTCACATATTTTTTGTCTCATTGATACTGCGTTAATATTTTGTATCTATGAGCACTGCTGTCATAATATTTTGTATCTTTAGTAACTGCAATGATCTATGTCACCGCAAGTCACAGGGCACCAACACCCGCTACTAAACCTGTCTCAGTATCAAAGATTACATTCAGTGCCATCAACGGTGGAGCCTGAAGGTTGGAGTTGTCTGAAGTCCCCAC